GCGCACTTGTGCGTGATTTGCGGGTGGTTCCAGTTTCGATTCGATAGCGTAGAAAAGTGAGCCACCTTAGGCACAGGAGCCTCCACGATTCACACGATAACAGAACATTGTTGCCAAGTCTCACTAGCATCAAACCACTGTCGAAAGAAGGAATGGAAACGACTTGAAAAGACGGGAAGGAAAGAGAGAGTGAGAGTGGAAGATGAAGGTTAAAAAATAATCCGAATTGCAAAGAGGAGAAGAAAAGGAGGAAAGATGACTATCAATGGAGGGGTGGGAAAGAAGGCTTGAGCGATTAAATAAAATCATTGTGTGAAAATAAATTAAAATGAATAAATCGGGAATAAATAAATAAGTTGGTTGTTTGCCTAATCAGGAATGGAGTGCCTTCTCTTATGTCCCTTTTTAGCAGTTCCTCTTTTACTTCCCTCATATCGCTTCCAGCTTCTTTCACCTTTTCCTCAGTATCATTCGGACAACTCCGTCATTCCTCTTTTTGGCCCACCGCATTCTGCCGCCTGCTTCCCCACCTCTTCTCCCAGTTCTTCCATGCTCTTTGTCATTGGTGGCATACATAACGAGGCTGTTGGGAGCACCATCCATCCCCTTCTGAATGGAAGTGAAGTCACTTTAGAATGGCCGCTGACCCTCACTGCACTTAGGCTAAAACAGCGCCAACTTTTAATGAGCCTCCAATTTTAATTTCACATCAACTTCCAAGAAACGCCTGTTTTTCATATTCGAACACGATCACGTACCCTGAAATGCGTGACTTTGGCGCCCCTCTTCTTCACGTGGCTTTCCGACGAATATTACCGCTGATAGCAAGTAGAATGAAGATTGTGCTCGCTGCGGAAGATCACTTTGATGTCAGCACTTTTTACCGTTTAACTACCGCCAAACTCACGACATATTCCACCGCTCATATTGTAGGTACCATTATTCTTGTGGTGGAAATTGCGTATCATAGACTTGATTACAAATGGCAAGGAACTTCGTAATGGTCAGTGCCACAAAGATAACTGCAAATGGGTTTCCAAATGTGCAGATTCTTCAGTTGCTAAGACTTACACCTTCATCTTCTCCCACACATGCATGAAGTCTATTTTTACATTAAGTACAAAGTGTGCGTCCCTTTCTCCAAATCACACATCACCTCCACACAATGTAATCTTTTTTGAGCAAAAACATTTGCCAACCCCAGCGCTGTTACTACTCCAGCTTGCATTTGAAAGGATTTCGTAACCCCTCTTAACTCAGCGTGGCCTACTACTACTTGGTTGTACAGCATATCTGAATGCACGGTAAATAACTAAGCGGTTCTCCGGCAAATGAACGCATTATTCTGCTATGTATAGAAAAAACGCACCTACAGACAGCACTCACAGACCTCCCCTCGCAATCTTCCCATTTCCTTAACCAGGAAGCTTAGTTCACATATGCACAAGAAGCATTTGACTCTCTAGAGTCCCCATTCGCCCCTGATTACATAATGAAACCTATGTGAGCAAAGCAATTGCCCACCTGTGTAAAAGAGAGGCAGGACACCACAAAAACATTTGGGTGAATACGATTTGCCTGTCATTCTGTATTTGCTCGTAGTACCAAAATGTGTGAAAATCCACCCAACAACACAGGCCCTGAAATCACTGCCAAATGAATCCCAAATCACACCGAACCCCGATGCATAAAACTCCAGTAGAACACGAGCAATGTGAAGCCTTACCGTCTATTAGCCAGAGTGCCTACTGCTCGCCTTGTACGATTCATAAATCCAAAGTCCGCGGCAGTGCTATAAGTCTTCCCATTCACTTCCCCTACTCAATTCAGCATCATCTAAAATTTGGTCATGGCATTCTGCTACCCGCTTTCATTATTACATCCATTACAAACTTGAGGAATGGGCATGCTCTTGTCTACATGTTTCGAGATTGGTTCAAAATGCAGCTTAAAGAATGTAGATGGAGCTTCATGACCATCCTCATCATTTCTTTCCGTATCAAAATGATCTAGAGTGATCATCAGGGAGCCTTCGCAGTGTTTTTCTTCAGAGGCGCATTCAGAAAGATTTCCTCTAGTCAACTTTGCGGAGTCTTCTGTTGGCGCGTTCACAGCTGCAGCATCGTTAGGCGAATTCAACCGCGTTGTTCGGCAACGCTTTGGAGCTTGTTTTGCCCTGCGCAAGCCTTCCCGTTTCGCATCACTCGATGCTACCGCAACCACTAAAGGAGACGGCCCAATCACCGAGTCCGCGGAAACTCCCGGATGGTTCTCCCGAATATGCACTTCCAAGACCCATCTTCGACGCTGTGGCATCACCTGTTCGCACAAAGGGCATATCTAAAGCACCAAAATCGACCAAGTTAAATTTCATTCACTTGAGTTAAAGCAGTAGGCAATCAGTTTCACCTGCGGGTGCTTAGTTCGCAAATGCATTTTCAGTGCCTTCTTTGAACTGAACGTAGCTCTACAAGTCTCACAGACGTGTTCTACCACCAAGCCATGCGTGGTAACTCGATGCGACCTCAAAGCTTGAATTGTAGGGAAGCCAGCTGGACACTCGGGGCATAAGTGTTTTCGTCCCAGCGCTGCCACAGTTGCCATGGCGTTCAATGCAGTGATATGTAGAGTTCCTGGGTCTTCCTCCTCGACTTCCAGTCCACCCTTAATGCGTCTCTCGGCGTCAATAGACCTCCCAACAGCTCCGGCAGCTGCTAGAACCTGAGATTTTGGTGCGTCAGTGCGTAACCACATGACAGGAGCATCATTAGCCCCGTTTTTGACACCATGGGTACGTAAATGTCGATTAAGAAGCGACTTCGAGGCAAGTGAGAATCCGCATAACCTGCAAACGAAAGGTCTTTCACCCGAATGCGATCGTATATGCTCGTTCAGGTGAACCTTCTGTCTATAGGCCTTTGGACAGAGGTCGCATTTAAAAGGTCTCTCGCCCGTATGCGTTCGAATGTGTTTTTCACGTGCACTAGCACGACTGAAGTTCTTGCCACATAATTCGCACTCAAATTTCCCGCTGTTCTCGTGACGATCCATGTGCTCACGAAGACTGCCTAGACGCATAGATTTCTGGCAGACGCTACAAGTGACCACCTCTCGGTCCCGATCCCTCATTGGTTGAGAAGCAACCCTTTCAGGAAGAAAGAATAAAGAGGAAGGCAATGAACCCGAGTTTTCATAGCCAATTGGGGAAAGAAGCTGGTCTGTGTTGGAATCAAGTGCTGAAAAGATTGGGAAGTTACTAGTCTCCATTACCTTCGAGATCAGAGCAAACGCATGAAGTGGATGCGTAACCGTTGAATAAGTATCACAACTGCTTGATGTTACCGCTGTTGCTGATGTAGTGGTGGTGTTGATGCTTGTAAATGTTGTAGGAAGTGGTGCTCCCTTTTGTTTCGGTGTTCCCTTAATACGTGGCATTCTAAAAGACAGCTTTGCTGTGTAAGAAGATAAAAATATGTACCACGTTTCTCACTGGCAGGTGAAATATAAACTAAAACTTCTAATTCGGTAAACTAACACAACAAGACGCAAAACTTGCGACACAGCGCTAGTAATTTATGCTACTGTTGAGTGTTAATTTAAAAAAAAAAGGGCAAATTACAACTCACAGAGGCGAAACACGGTGCCAAACTAAGTCACAAGCGCGAGCCCACAGCCCAAGTGCGACGGCCTTCAATCAGGCCTTGACTGTCCGCCTATCAGATCACGAAATGCATTTGGCTACGCATGCACGCACGCACACGTGCAGTGCACGCGGTCTGCAGCCTAATGTGCCACGGATCGAAGCCTCGCGCACGACGGATAGGCAGACAGGCAGAAGTCGCGTGCGAGTGCTTACGTGCGTCCATGACAGACAGGCATGGACCCTAGGCCTGCCTCCCCACGCTTGTGTGTATGTGCGTGTGTGCGTGTCTGCTTATGTGCGTGTATGTACATGTGCACGTGTGCGTGTTTATGATTGGGCCGGACGCCAGGGCACGGTGCTGCATCCCAATCGTGTCCAGGCTTGCACCACAAAACAGCCAGGTATGGAACAAGGTTCTCGTATTTTATCCTTCCATGACGGTATTTTCTTATTCTGCCTTAACTTATTTGATTTGGTCATAATATACAGGACCTTTGGAAGTTGGTATAAACTGTCAATAATTGCTAGATTTGGGAAGGTACTGACCAACACAAATTACCAAAATTTGCTGGAAATGGTATGCTTTCATAATCTCCGATATCAAAAATAGCCGGTGGTTTATTCAGTTATCTAACCAGTTAAGCTACACTGCCTTCAAAACAAGCCTTTTGTTTCAATCCATTGCTGGGATATCGGATTCGACGCGACCAGCTTGTAATATGCCTGTGTGGTACAGTGGTTGTCTGACTCTTGGATTTAGTGGAGCGGCACTTAAAATTTGGCCAATGAACCACGCTGGGTGGGCTGGCCTTCGGGCTCATGCCAGTGGCCCAAATACTTTCTGTATACCGAATAAATGTGTTCTGCCCGAGTATTATGTATTCACTAGTCTTCGGGGAAGTCTCGGGACGCAACACCTGCTCTTGAGACGGTGGGACCATTTGAAAGGCAGGGAGACTACGTGGTGTTGGGGGATATTTTTGATACACACCATTTTAAGCGTATTAGGGAACTCGGTGGCGAAAATCACTACAAGTGGGTTTCATCATTTTAAACTAGACCATTTATTCAATTATAATAAACAGGTAAATTAATTTTTCTGGAAGACCATCGTCAATCCCGTCAGGTAATCTGTGGGTTCACTCCCTTTTCCAGCCACATGTATGTGATCGATTCTTGGCAGTAAGACGAGTAGTTGATGTGCTGACAGTAATCATTTTAATGCAAAAGCTTTACCGGTTTAACTATTGGCTATATTGGATGGATTTCAATGCTGATAAGTGATGTAAGCTATATGCTATCATGTGCTGTAGTTCCAAGAGCCGTTTATGTAAAAATTGCATTTGAAACCATTTTTCAATGCAAATTGGACATCAAATAAGTTATTTACAAGCTGATTAATTAAAGAGGAATTTTCCGAACATCAGCATTGGTTAATCCATAACATTTCTACCAATGGAAATGTTTTAAAGACAAAAATTGGTGATGCAAAAGAGTGCTGCCTGGACTAAGGCGTTTTGAGCTAAGTAAAAATATGAAAATTTTAGAAATATTTGTTTTGATTTACATTTTTGGGCGGCGCGACGGCCTGCTATTATGTGGGCTTTTTATTCGCTTTTGGGGTTTGTCCCCATCTCCTGGCTGATGTGCTTATTTGCCTTAAACATAACCAAATTCTTGAGTACCACAGTCGTTGGTCATGACTGTGATGTCGGTTCCTTCCATCTGTTATTCCATAAATCAATACGGAGTAGTTTTGCATAGAGCTGGCATAGTATTTTTATTTGCTTTATCTTGGACTACTTTTTCAAAGTAGTCAGTTGCATCATTTGAACTTTTTGTGCCTTCTAATCGTATGCTGAAATTTAGTGTTCCTGAAAAGTTTGTTTCTGATGTTTCGGTATCGTTTTCCTGTAGGTAGGGTCATTTGTTATGTATCAGTTTTGGTCTGCACTTCCATTGCCCAATTTTTCGGGACTATTTTGTAATGAGATAATTGTTAAGAAAGTGGGTTCTTTAAATTCACCGTAGTGTTTGTAGCAAATTGGTTTTTGGGGACCAATTTTATGGGTTATTGGTTATTTCTCTCCGTATGCTACGAATTTTGACTCTATGCCATTTGTATTTTCGAATGTAATTTAATGCGACAGCAAATATTGTAATTGTAGAATATGTCCAACAAGACGCTGTTCGGTAAATCGCTGGACAAATACGATTCGAATATTGACGACATAGATGACCTACTTTCGAAGCTGACGGAGGCGGAGATTAAGGAATTGAACGACGATATCGACCCAGACAACTCGCTTCTCCCGCCTTCTCAACGCTGCCGCGATCAGACTACGAAGGCGCCAACTGGACCCTTCAATCGCGAAAATCTCATCAAGTGGGCTCCATAATTCCCTTTCCTTAGGCAGAATATTTCAAAAGCATAAGCGAAGGAAAACTGCTTCTCTTGTTAGCAGATCATGTGAATCAAGCGATGGACTTGATATTTTCTGAAGTATTTGTGGACTGTCCATGGTCTTGTCCATTTCAAAGCAAATTATGACCCCTGTAAATACTCACGCCCATAAATCGGAAGTATTTGTCTGAAAAGATTATAAAATGAATTACCCGTGACCACTTACCATTTGCAATAATGTGGGGCGGTCGCGCATATAGATTTTGTACGTCAGCTACCGATCACGCGGTCTATTTACATTTTTGTCCATCACGTTGTGAGTCGCACGTAGTAGTGCTTGGACTTCGCTACTCTTGTGGCTTTCTTTTGACTAGTAAGACTTCATTTAGAACCTTTAAATAGAGCCCGCGCGGATTATTTCTGATTATTACCTCTGCAAATATTGGGTTTCAAATCACTTTCAAACCACTGTTTTTTGGATTATCAATTATTCAGTAGCCATTGTTGTGGATTTTTAATTTCACAGTTCAACTTCAAGTAGTCTTTCGATTCGTGGTCGTGGGCAATATCCTTGTTTAGTTACTTCTTTATCTTCTTCCAGATTCCTTGTAGAAAAGGCAAAGAATGATCCCGACTGGGATGAAGCAGTTCCCTACGAGAAGAAGATTCGTGGTAAGGTCTTTGAAAAGAAGGTCGAACCGGTGGCGGTGGAGAAAAACGAGCTCTCTGAATTGGGCTTTGATGTGGAATTTGATGAAAGCATCAACGAGGTACGTTGTTGCTGTTTTTAACTGTCAGAGGTTAATTGTTGTTGATGACCGTAGTAAAAGGCACTTTGAAAACTCGGCCGCTTATCTTGCCTACTTTTGGGGATCGGCTCTGAGCGTTTTCGGGAATTGCTCTTTATTCAGGTACATTCTGAACTGTCAGATGGTTTTTTCTTCTATGCAAGCAAAGCTCATTCTATAAAGTCAAGGTGGTTATGAAAGCAAATAATGGATCGCTGGAGTTGCTTTATGAATGCTAGAGAAGTCGAACTGATCTACTTCACGATCAGGGTATTTCACCTTGTTCTCACGAGATATTGAAACATGAATTCCGATTAGTGTTATTTGCATTTTTGACCGTCCACCATTACAGGGTAAAGCGCCTTGTTCTTGTGGGTTATCGGTTTCGTTATATTTTCCCTGAATTTATTCACTGTACTCCTCACATCGATGTGAAATCCTATTAACCGTCTGGATTTTTGGTTATTGAGTTTTGGATTATTTTCTTTAGGATTTAAATCGTGGTTTGGCTCTTAACTCTGAAAATGCCTCTACAATCATATTTATTAGCTCTCCCGGCATTCATTTCATCATCTCTTTAATTCAAACAAATACTTTTCAGAAGTTGTCCATGCTTTTTAAACTCCACCTCCCATTTCACCAGCAGTACTACTAATTCAATGCCTTTCTCATAAGCTTTCAGTCTTCTATAATGCATAATTTTTATAACTAGGTGACCGTATGGCCTAGACTTACACAACTTTTCTGCAACAGAATGAATACCTGTTTTTGATCGTGGGTCATGCTGGTGCTTTTTTCTAGTCTACCTATTTGCAACCCGTTACAGAAATGCTACATTCTGTTCTGCCCATCTGTAATACACTAGCAGAGTCACTTTGGCCTGCAACTATTCTTTGTTTTGAATATTTAAAGATTAAATAAATGTAGTAATTCCCCACTTTTCCCACATTCTTAATTCGACACTATTACTTATGATGATTGTCAAAGTCGTATGCATTCACCCTGTTCAAGTCACCTACTTTTGCTTTCGGTTTTCGGATGACTACGAGTATCCACTTCGTGGATGTTTCTGCCAACTCCGGGAATTCAGCAGTACATTTAATTTTGGGTATTTGTATATACTGTAGCGGTGAATACGCTAAGAAATGACTATTCTTTTCGGCAGATACCTATATGAGGAGGAATAGAGCTTCATATTTCAAGCATTGCTCCAACAACTTTGTCCGAAAAAATTCTCTATATTACGTGGTAAAGTTTTTTCAATGGAAGTACACAAGCATTGGTTTTTCTGTTCTTTTTTTTATTTGTTAGGCATTCAGCGGGAATTTTTAATCATTTGGCTTCAGGTAAAGTTTTCTCCACTGTTAGTATGTTTTATCTCGCTTACAATCATCGACGGTGAATCACTTTCTTACTTTGTTTACGTTTGTGGGAACTATTTGAGATGCTTCCCGCTTTCAGTAGTACCTCTCTATTATGGTAGTGGTCAAATAAAGTCTTTAGACATGACATCTTATTGGGGCCCATCATAAAATTGGGGGGATTCGTTTTACCCTCTGACTAAGATGAAGAATAGGAATCACCTCATTGAGCATTCTTTTTATGATTGCGTGCTTCAAGTACGTCACGTAATTTCAAGTATTGCGATATTTAGGCAGAAATTTTATCTCGTTGAAGGGCCTTTGCTTCTGCTTCGTGCTTGAAGCTCTTGCTGTCCAGCTCGTGGGCTCATTCCAAACACTCATTCAGATATTCTGTAATTTTTTCCTCCTTTTTCCCCAAAAATCGTGGGCACTGTGGAATTTCTAGATAACCGTTGTGAATGCCAACACATGATTTGGCCACAAAGCTTAGCTTGTGTTAGAACGATTTTCTTTTTTTGGTGCATTTTGTAAGTAGGTAACAGAATGGTGACACTTGATAAACTGCAAGGATAGCTGACTTATTAGAAGGTAACAGTTGAATGACACTTTCAGGCAAGATCAATTACTACCCCACCTGGCATAGGTAGAAATACGTAGGCGGTAAATTTTTTTTTTCTGAATCCTGTCATTAATTCCTGCGCTTCCAGCATATATGATGGTGTTCAAGCTGGGCCGGGACTTTTAAATTCACAAAAAAAAGGAAAAATAACAAATTGTGTGACGTGAAAATTGCCTCTAGTTTTCTGATTCCTCCCCTGCTGCTACATCTATACACCTATCTTAGTGCAAGTTTAATACTTGGCATACCTGGCTTTGACACAGAAAACTTTGTCAGTGCAGTCGGACCCCATCAGAGGGGAGCTTGTTTCACTTCGTCATTGGTGTCGAGTTCGCACCTTTTTTCTGCCTTGATTTTTATTTTTATATTTGGAGAGAAATGGTGTAGCCTGCTACTGTCACATAATGCGGCTCAGTTACTATTTCTAACTTTTAAGGTTGTTAAAAATACGATCTTTTTCTTGCCTAGGATGCGCCTAATGCCTTGAAATTGCCTATCTTTCTGAATGGTTGTGGTATTTGCAGGGTTGCCGCAGAAAGATTCGTTTTTTGTGCGATTTCACCGCACTGGAGGTTTTAAGCTGATGCGGCACGCCGATTCAGGGCAGATATTTCACCTACTGGCCCGATGTTGAAAGGAATGATTGAATAGACTGAGCTGGGAACGCGGCTACTACGATTGAGATCGTGCCTAAAGCCTTCTGTTGATGCCTATGGATTTAACGCCTTCAAGTAGAAAAAGCTTTGCTTTTTACTACAGACTGTTTCATTTGCTTACTGCTACTGTTGACCTGTACCAAACGAGTCTGCATCATGAGCGACAACTGTTACGTGTAGTAATGGGTCAAACCTAGCACTTAGTAACGACTTCATAGGCGCTATGGCAGCAACTGATTTGTAAAATTGCAAAAAAAGGATGTTCTGGTTCGACTTGAGCGTACGTTATACGTCTTGAAGGCTGAAAATGATAATCTGGCAAGAGATCGCTCGAAGCGCCCTTGTAATCCAATCCCTCATCCTTAGTTAACGTTTTCTAGTTCTCCATCAGTATTCAGCCCTAATATCTCATCTCTTTACCTTTTTTGTATTTCACAGACCAATGTTTAAGCCTGTCTATTCTCCCTACAGGCCTTGAACAATGCTACAGACGACGAACTCATCGATCTGGCAGCCATCCTGGGTTTCACGGGCATGATGAATCAGGTGCAGTTCCACGCCAGTATCGAGAACCGGGGTCAGGTGGGTGGCGGCTTTCTTGGTGTTGCCAAGGCTGAACAGCTCAAAATTGTGCCCGATGAGCCTCCCAATATGACTGATGTTGAGGTACGTTTATGCTTATCTTCGCTTGCCTTGATCAGGAATTGGATGGCCAATGTTGGGACGGACTTGTTGGCGGGTCACTAGCACCATAACCATTCAGAGGTTGAAGTTTTAAAAACTGTTTGCTTTAAGGGCTACGAATGCGAGCCGGGAGACTGGCTGCTTAAAGAGGGCTTCAGCAGGCAGTAGTATGGCCGTGCAGTCGAATACACGAGATATTATTTTGCTATGCAGCCCCTGGTATGTTTCGATAGATTTAGCCGTCCACTGTGGAGGCCTTCCTTTTTTACTTTTAAGCATGATGTCTAGTGAGAGACGTAGTTTGACGAGTTTAGCTGATCTGGTGGTAATGAAAAGTCGAGATCCTTTCGTGACATAATTAATTTGAGGAGCCTCTTACTCTTGGGATGTAAGACCGAAGGAACTAATATTGTGTGATGTGTTGCGATTTTAGGAGAGCATTAAGAAGCTCACAGCGGACGACGCATCGTTAACGGTGCTGAATCTGAACAACATTAAGGATCTCAGCGCAGAGGTGGTGTCGCGTCTATTCACGGCGGTGGGCGAGAACACAAAGCTGCATGAGCTCCACATGGCCGGGACGGACCTCACTTCGGCCATGATGGAGCCTCTCCTCCTTTCACTCAAGGTCAACCATACTTTGGAGGTTCTCAATCTTGAATCGAACTCCATTACTGGTGAGTGCTGGCGCTTTCCACTCTCCATCTCGCCATTTGGATTCATCTGTCCTCCCATCATCCCACCGATTCACTCAGCTTTGTATTCAGTCTTTTGGGAGTATCTATCAATTTTTTTCTCATTCAAGGGCCACTTTCTACTTCATTCATGCAATCATGCTCTCATCCATCGGCGCCTGACATTGATCCACCTCTTTCTCTCTCACCTGCACCTCCCACCATTCATTTGTTCATTTCGCATCCACTTATCCGCTTATTAATTCATCTACGTGTCTCCAAACTCCTCCCTCGTTTCTGGCGTATCCCGTCCCTATGTTTATTTATCCATCCCTCATCCACTCATCCACCCATTCGCTCCGGATTCATTCATTGATCTCAGGTTCACCCATTCCCATTCTGTACCTCGATCGACCTGTCGATTCTTCCATCTATTCGTGATCAAAGTCAAAAATCCATTATCCATCTCTGGTATACTCCTCTATCATAAATTTTCTATCCCATTGTGATCTCTCCAAACGTCTATTCATCTATCAGTTCATTCGGATTTGCTCAAACCTTGTCCGTCTCTCATCAATCTGTCCACATCGGATCCACCTGTTGATCCGTCCATCCTTCTCTTATTCTATTCATCCATTCTTGACCCAACCAACCTTTGTCGACCAAAATTATCTTCCATACATTGGCCAATTCCTTAGCACATGTTCGTTCTTGATTCCCACACTTCATTTCTCCTATAGGCGACATGATTTTAAAGATTTTGGACTCTATTTCGGACTCAAAGAGCGCCGTAAAAGACCTTCGGCTGGCCAATCAGCGCCAACGCGTGCTCGGCGTGCAGGTGGAGGAGCAGATCGCCAAACTGGTGCTGCAGAATCCACGACTCAGCAACCTCAGTCTGTACTTCGACACACCGTATGCGCGTGTGCAAATCAACGAGCACCTGAAGAAGACCGTAGACACCAATAAACGGCTTGCCCGTGTCAATAAGGGTGCCTAGTGTGACAGCCCAGTTTTTTTGCTGCTGCTATTTGATTCTGTGCAATTGTGCTTATACTTCACCCCCCCCCCCTCTTGCTGCTCCTTCGGATCGTACACCTCTAGGGCGTTCTCTTTTAGAAGTGGTGTCGTTTTTAGAGACGTCACTTCTTTTAACCTGTCGTGCTACAATTTTACACGCGGTACAAATCACTTTTGAGAAGAATAGATTAACCTTCAGCTTTTTGTCCTCCCAATTGTGGTGCGAATTTCACTCTTCAAAGATCGGCGTGTGTAGTGCTTCGATGTATCGTGATTGGTTGGACGGTGGACGTGAGAATATTCACTTGCGGGCTGCCACCTACCTGAAATTGCGCATTTGATATCGTTTACGACAGACTTGTCAGTAGTATGTATTATGGCCTGTTGCAACTCGTAATGGCCAGCACAGACGGCTTTTTTTCCACTGCTAATTTATGAACACAGAATAGAAGAAAGCCCAAGGATATCAACTCCTATCATGTCCACGTCCTAGCGATGATGTGGTTCAATCTAGCACGAACGCCGTAGTTTGTAATGTTGAACAAAGGTACTAGTGTTTGGAAGCCCTAAGCTAACAGGCGTCGGTTGAAGATTTCAACCTCACTACGGCGTTCGGCCATTCATCCACAGCAGGGGATTTGAGTGGCGTCAATCTTTCCAAAATGATCGTGGGTCTGTCAGGAACAACCCTGTCTGTGGTGTCTGCGGTCATTCTCGTAAACATTTGACTAGCGCATGGAGCATCTCATAACACATAACATGCCGTGCAGGGGAATCGGCCGGAAGTCGGAACTTTCAGTAGCAATCCTGCAAGGAGCAACATCGTTCAGCACCACAGACTGTCCACTACTCTGCATAACACATCCTCAAAAGAATTCAAAGCGCATCTGGTGCTTCTGCTCATCTTCCAACATCTGTAGGACTGGAGAGGTGACCTAACTTGAGTTTACGCGCATTTCAAAAGGCGGAGTGCAAAATTCTACGATGGTGTAAGTACAACTTAAGCTATGTATTTACTAATAGCAGCTCTTACGATTAATTCTGCTGTCATTCAGCCTCTGTCACTACTGGGGGGCATTACACCTTTGTGTAGCGTCATTTTTTTACCATTTCCAATTTTCGTTGTGATAGTTAAGTCAGTTTGACCAGTTAATTTGTTTGAAGGTAGTTGCAGTGGGTTAGGCGGTTGAGAGTTTTGAATAATAAACAACCGCTACTGAGCATGCAGAAATTAACCTTTTTTAACATCACTCTGGACATATCTGCAACCGCAAAATGCACTCCTGGTTTGATTCTCTAGAAGTCTCTTCTTTTGTGTCTAATTCTCGCTTGTACTAGAAGCTCTCGCAACCTACTCTCTTGTTCCATTCCTACGATTGTCCAACAGCTGACAAAGACTAAACTTCCTGACAATCGCTACGAGGCCAAGGCCAGTGAAGACTACCAGTAGGTGATAGTCAGCAGACACGTACGCACACTTCGTATCGCCTCCTCAACTAAAGACGGCTGTATTGAAGTTACTGGCCCCTGAATGCTTTGAATGCGGATCCAGCAGGATCAAAGCTCATGCACGAAAACCCCATTTCATCAAACAGGAGGACTTAGAAATTTTCGTCTGACTGGCCATGATCGGACAAAGGATCGAAAAGCAGCAAACACAACAAGCAATAAGGGAAATTAAAAGCGGATTTTATAAAGAGGAAAGGTGTTTTAATTTTTTGTTTCTAATATCCATGAGTAGATACATTCGAAGATCAAGCACAAAATATGCGGGGCTTTACTCTACAACTACAACTTGTATACATAAATGTATATATTATTCAGCTAGACAGCCAATTGGCCTTAAATCTATGCTTGGAGGAAGTGGGTAGGGAAAGCACAACAATTCGGCAGAAGCATCAAGTTTTGGAGTGAGGAGAGAGGACAACGATTATGGTGGGAAATGACTTCCACGATGCCAGGCGAACTGGGATGTGATGAATCCGTTGGGTTATGTGTTAGACTGACTCAAATGCTGTCATTTTGTAATTTCTGATCGGCTGGGCCATTTCATGCACGATTTTAACAACCACAGCCACTGCCTTGACCCTCCGGCCGCTCCGTCAGGCGCTTTGCTAAAAAGGGTAACATTGCTACTTATTACTTATTAAGTAAAAATGTTTGAACATGAGAAACGTGTAGGGATTTGCTTTACTTATCTTCAACAAAATTGTAAAATTTAAATTCAGGAGCATTGCCAAGAATTTTAGACGCAAGATTAATGCAAGAATTTGTGGGCACTATACAGATAGTGGCAATATCGACCACCAGTCACTGTAATTCTTGAAGTGAGTGATAAATTTTCAAAAACTAAAAAACCTCAAGTACAGTCTTCATGGAAAATATTATTGCACCACGTATATCTAAGTAATTACTAACATGTATTTATGTAAATGGAGCCAATTGTAAATGCAGACTCTGGTGTAGCGCATCTAATCCTGGCAAAACTTTAGATTAAAGTAAGGACGAATTGGATTTTGCATAAGCATAAAATCATGTAAAAACTACAGGGAAGGAATGCAAAGTTGCCGACACTTATTCCCTCAATGTTTACCGTATGCAAAAAACTAAGTCAGACTTTTGGGTAGAACGACTGCATTTGTAAGCGCACAGTTATTATAAATGCCAATTTCGTGAGGTGAGCAAATGAGGTCAAATTGACTTCAAGCGCTCTTTCAACTTTCCCTAGCATGGGACTGGTTCAACTCAGTTTACTTGGCATACCGGAGGCCTTATTAAAACGTCTGACTGTGTATTTGCTTAGGCGTTGGTTTGTATTTAAACGAATTGACTGCATACTGGTGTAAAAGCCAAGTAGGTGGGAGTTGGTAAACCCATCCTCCCCAACACTTGACGACGATTGAAAATGGAAAATGGGAAGTGTTGCCTTTTCCGTGGCGGATGTCGTGAAACTTTCTTCAATTGCCTTAAAAACGATTTAAGAAGCACAGGGCATTAGATTTAGGCTTGATTCATTTATTTTTTTTATTTTTTTAAAACTCCTAATCACAACAACGGCGTCGACTAAACCCCGGTGTGAAAATCATATTTGGCACCTTAAAAGAAGTTTTAAAAGGGGAACTTAGAATTCCCAGTAGACAACCCTAAAATAATGCTGCACCATAATCTCGCAATATGAAACAGCATCTGAAGGAAACACTTGAAATTTTAAGCAGTAAGTTTTTCACTAAAAAAATAACACGAGCCAATGAATATGAGGTAATTCCGAGGCAACCCAGTGACCTGAATCGTTGATCTAACACAATGAAATGATCGTCGTTTGTTTTTGGAAATGATGCAGCTGGTGTGAGCGCGCTTGATGAAAGTGTGAAAAAAGGGTGCTGCTGCTATTTGTTAATGCAGTTAAGGAAAGTCCTCTCTCCCAAGAATGAATGAAACAGCATGGAAAGACGCGATTCCACCTACTTTGCAGTCAACATTTGATAAAACCAAACAATAGCAACATACTGAAGTAGGTAATTTCCTTTAGTTCCTATAGCTGATCTGATAATTTCAAAAAGACAAACAATTCTTATCTGCTTCTACATTACATTTCGGCTCAACGTGCAGCATATCTCCTTCAAACAGTTCAAAGTAGAAGTTATCTACACATTTGTTATGTTATCGTAAAAGTTGTTAACGAATTTCCGTATTTTAAAAACAAAGCCTCATTTTGCTTACAACACGACCCCTATAAGAAGTACTCCTAATGCCTTCCAGTTTTACTTGAAATTGTCTGACAAAAATGCTTCTCTGATCTGTATGCATGCAATACGCATTTCATTCCCCCACCCCTTGTTGTATAGTCCCTAAAGTCCCTGCATTGTTGTGAACAGCTGACGTGTGGATGAGATCAACCTCAACAGAGGAAAATGAGCATAAATGCAGCACAGATTTGCTCAATCTTCCTTCCTCAGGGGGGGGGCGATCAGCAATCTGATTTTACTGCAAATACTAGCAAGAGGAGCGGCAGAAGCAGCCACGGCGACAGAGGCAGCGTCAATCGATGCAACACTAACACGCGAGAACTGACCTTCTCCCGCAATCTCCAAACGGCTGACTAGCGACGTAACGCCTGCCACGTCCTCCTACCCCAAGCCACTCCCTTTCC